CCGGGGGGGGTGCAGTCCGAGGCTGGGCCCCGTGCCCCAGCCCAGCCGCTCGCCGGTACCTTACGGCAGTTGTAGAAGTCGCGGTGGGGGTTGTTCTTCAGCTCCTTCAGCTCCTCCATCTCGTTCAGCATCTCGTGCAGATTGAACTTGGAGGACAGGAACTTGAGGCGCCGGTGGGCGTAGGTCTTGCTGGTGAGCGAAGGACACGTGGTCACGCGCGCCGGCACGGGCCACAGCGCTCTGCGGAGGCGCCAGGCTGTGCCCTGATGCAAGGCTGAGCGCGGAGGCGCCGGGCCCCAGGGCACAGCCGGCCACGGCAGTGCAGATACGGGGGGAGCGAGGCGGGCCGTGGGGCCCGGGCCGGCACTCACACAGGGCCCTGGGCGATGAGAGCGAGCAGGAAGTTCATGTCGTTGATGAAGCCCTCCAGGTCAGGGTAGGGCAGGTCCTTGGGCTGGCCCCGGCCGGGCGCCGCCGCGTCAGCGTAGACGTAGGCCACGCCGTCCTGCATCTGCACGTGGTAGCCCAGGTCCTCGGGGAGATTGTCCGCCTGGAACGGGTCCTCCCCCTTCTTCACCGGGGGGCTGAACACTGCGCCGGAGCGAAGTGCCGTGAGCCCCAGGCGCTGTGCCCGCCCCAGGCTGCCAGCCCCACGCCAACGGGAGCGCTGCCTCCAACCCACCGCCCCTCGGCCCCCGGAGCCTCTGCCGGCTCCATCGGTGTGGCAGCGCTGCCATCTCAGCCCCGCTCCCGTCTGCCCTGTGGGGCTCCTCGGGGGCCCTGGGGAGGGCCCGTGGCACGGGGACAGGAGCCGCCAGCTCTGGAAGAGGCCGTGCCTGGCACTGCCCGCCTGCACACGCCTCCTGCCCCCAGCCCAGTGCCCTGCACGCACGGCCAGGGGCTACCTGGGCCGCAGCTCTGGTCAGCGGTCCAGACCTCGCCCTCGATGCTGCGCAGGTACTGGGCCGGCGTGCGGGGGAACCGCTGGAGCGAGAGCCGCATGTACTTCTCCCGGATGCAGAGCGCGCGGTACAGGCCCCGGCACACCACCTCGAAGTCCTCCACTGTCACCTGCCGGGGGCTGGGCTCAGCTCCACGGGCACGGGGCCGCCAGCCAGGGCCCCGCTCCCCACGCGCGCGGCACAGCGGGGGCTGGTGGCAGAGGCTCTGTGCCCGGGACCAGGCTGCACCTGCCTGAAGCCGAGATCCCCGCTACTGCTGCTCGCGCCCCACCCCCGCGGCCACACAGCGAAGTGGGGGGGGACCTGGGGCAGGCCTGCCCATGGGGGTGTGGGGGCTATTTATGGAGCACAGGCAGGCCCTGGTTTGATTTCATCGATACCCTGCACTGAGCCGCCACTCGGGGACAGCCTGATTTACTGCGGGCACGCGTGCTGGGGCAGGGGGAGGGCCAGGACCGCGGCGAGGGCACAAGCAGCTGCAGGGACGGGCAGGGCTGGTGCACGGGGCGCTCCCTGCTCCCAGCCCAGCGTCCTCCGCCCGGCTGAGCAGCCACGCGCGGGCCAGACGGCTCCTGCCGACAGGCAGCGCCCGCCCGGCCCCGGCGCTGCCCCAGCTGCGGGAGGCCGGGGCCCGACGCCCTCACCCCTGAGGCGTAGTCGCAGGTGGTCTGGACGCGCTGGAAGTTAGGCACGGCCTGGTAGAGCGGCGAAGTGGACATGACCTCATCGATGGTGGACAGCTTGGTGGACGACATCTTGGCCACGGGCAACACCAGCGCGATGGTCTTCAGGCGGAGCCGCTTCTTCCTGCGAGGGGGAGGCCGCACCTGAGCCCAGACTGCCTCCTGTGCGCCCCCCCGGCCGGACTGTGCTGGTGGGGGGAGCGGGCGTGGGCACAGCCCCTCCAGGCCCTGGGGCCGCTCAGAGCCCAGCACCTTGACCCCAGCCCTTCCCCAGAGGAGCCACGGGGTAGGTGCCCGGGGCTGCACGCACTGCTTCTCCGGGGAGGCCTGGCTCTCCTGCTGGATCAGGTGCTCCTGCATCTCGTGGTGCGAGATGGGGCAGATCTCCTCCACGTCGAAGGGCGAGATCTCGTGCCGGGTCTCCTCGTCCTTCACCTCGGAGGCAAACACCTTCTCGGCAAAGGAGCGCATGGCCTCGTCCATCTCTGTGGGGACAGCCCCGTCACCGCCGGCCCCGACCTCCCAGCCCAGCTCCGCTCCGCTCCGGCCCCTCCGCTCTCCCGTCCCCATGGCGCCCTCAGGCCCAGGCAGGTCCCAGCCCTGCTCTGGGCCCCGGGAGCAGCTACCACTTGGGTGCCAGGATGCCAGGCTCGCCCCGCCCCACAGGCCCTGCCCTGCGCCGACCCGCACGCTCCAGGCTGGGCACAGCCCCGTGGGCCCCGTGACTCACGCTCGGCGTCCCAAGCAGGATGGAGGCGAAGATGAGGATGGACGGAGCCGTGTGACCTGTGCAGAGAAAGGCCCCCACCCCCAAGCAATGGCCCCATGCAGCGTGTGGGGGTAGCAGCGCGTCCCCGTGGGGGCTCAAGGGGCGTCAGCAGCTCCAGCCTCCGGGCAGCAGAGGTGGACTCGCAGGGCGCAGTGCTGGCAGCAGGGCACCGCCGGGCAGCCGAACACGGGCAGCACCGCGCGACCGAGCAGCGAGGACCAGCAGGGGCACGTGCACCCAGCCGGGACGGAGCCAGGCGCTTTCCCGCCCTGAACCCACGGCTCTGCCCCCGTCTGTCGCTGCAGGGAGGGGGCTGCCCTGCTCCAGCAGGACCCAGGGCCAGGCGGCGGCAGGGGGCCAGGAGCCTGCGCGAGGCAGGAGCGCTTCTCCCTGCGTGCAAGGAGCTGCTCCGCCACGCCACGGCGCCTGGCCCCCTGCCGAGGAACGGGCAGGCTGGAGCCCTTGCCACTGCCGTGATCGCGGGCCGCAGCCAGAGACCATGTGCGCGGCAGACCAGGTACTCACGTTTCTCCTTGGCTGTGGGGTGAAAGAGACAGAAGAGAGGTGTCAGTCGTGGCCTGCCCGGCCCCCACGGGGCGGCAGGGCAAGTGCCTTCGGGCCCGGCCCTTCCATGACACACGGTGGCACCGGGGGCGCGCGGCAAGACTGGCCCGCACAGCGCCGCGGCCCAGCACAGGCGCCCCCTCCCCGCGCTGCCCACCCTGGTGCTGGGCCCGGGCGAGGCCTTCGGCAGCCCAGGGCAGCGCGCGGCGAGGGGCCAAGGCTGTGGCTTGGGCTGCCCTCGGGCAGCTGCAGGCCCAGAGGAGATTACGTGCAGGGTCAGGCCGTGCCAGCTATGGCCATGACAAGGCCCGGGCTCCCTGGGAAGCGCCTTGTGGGCCGGTGCCAGGGCAGGTTGCGGGGAACAGGGCCTCACGCCCGCCCTCAGCCCGGCTGGGAGCCATCCCAGTGCCACCGGCGACGCGCTGAAGCCGAGCTGCCAGGGGGAGGGAGCGGGAGGGCGCTGGGGCGCAGGTCTGGGCGGCCGGCGGCCCAACACTCCTGCACGACTGCCGCGCTCCCCCCTGGCTGGACCGCAGGGGTAGCGGGCCCGCGCCGGCAGCACCCCTGGCAGTGAGGCACGCTCCCTGGAGCCAGGCACGCACAAGGCTGGGCAGTTGGGCCGGACCCCTGTCCTGCTCCCACATGGCCACGGAGCCCCCGGCCCTGCCCTGCCCTGCGGCCAGTGCCCAGGTGTCTTGGCCTCCCTGGCAGGCTCCCATCACAGCTCTCCCTCGCTGCCCCCATGCTACAGTCCGCTCTGCACCCGCCCCGGGCCCACGTTGCAGGCTCCGTGCCAAGCCCCACGCGTGTCCCTGCGGCAGCGCCCGGCCCGCCCGGGGAAGAGCCTCACCCACCCGCGCTGCTGGCCTGGCCTGGCCTGGCCTGAACCCGTCCTGTCCAGCCCTGCCCTGCCCTGCCGCACCAGCGCGGGCCCTGCTGCCTCCTCCTGCCAAACAGCGGGCGACGGGCTGTGCAGCCCTGGCCTGGGCTCAGCTCCTTGCCCTGCCTCTGGCCAGCCCAGGTTAGGGCCTGCAGCGGCACACAGCCACGTTGCGCCATGAGTCCTCAGGGCCACAGCCCTCCAGAGCCCCACGTGCCACGGCCGGCCTGGGGCTCTGCATCTGCCACAGGGGCCCGGCGGGCCCATTTCACCTGCCATCTCTTCACCCCTCCGGTGCGCAACCCCGCAGGGACCTCTGCCCACAGGCCTCTGCAACCAGCCCTGGGGCCGCAGCGCCCGACACCTGCTGGTCCAGTCGCCTCGGCCCCGGGCAGGCACGGGAGCTGTGCTGCGGCCCCTGTGCCAGCAGCCCTGGGCCCGGCTCACGGGGCTGGCCCAGGCCTACCTGGCATCTTGACCTGCGGCATGGCTGCGGGGGGAGCGAGGTCCTGGCTATGGCGGGCGTCGGCGGGGACTGAAGGCCCGCAACAGCCTGGCACTAATTTTACTGCCTGCCCCTGTAACCAGACTCCCTGCTCTAAAAGGAGAGGTGGGCTCTGCTTAGGGACTATTTACGGCCCATGCCAGTCCAGCTGAGCGGGGGAAGCTACAGTGGCGTTAACCCCACGGCTGCTGCATAGCAGAAGGCGAAGGTGCAGCCCACGCCAGGGCAGATGTCCCACAATGGGACTTTTGGCCAGGCGCAAGCACGAGCCCAGCACTGGGGGGAGCAGGCATGTGGCGGCTAAGCCGCGGCCCTCGGCAGCCCTGAGGAGGAAGTGGCCGTAGGGGCAGCTGAGCTGCAACAGGGCTGGAGGCTGGTGTGGAGCCGGGGCCAGCCCCCGCACGCTGCCCCGGCCGGGCGGAGGAAGCACAGCCCCCGCAGCTCGAGCCAGACCACCTGCCCGCAGCCCCCACTAGGTCCCATGACCCTGCGGTGCCAGGCACGGGCGCACATCCCACCGGCTTCCAAGCGCGAATGCCGAAGGCACAGGATTCGCATCTGGCACCGCTCACGGCTGTCGGGGCTCACAGCCACCCCTGCCGCCTGGACAGCTCACGAAGGGGGGCGAGCTGCTCGGACCAGCGCCAGTCAGCCTTGTGCCCATCCCAAGCAGGGAAGGGTTCTGGGGCTGGCAATGTCCGGAGGCCTGGACCCTTTGCTGGTCAGGTGCAGGTCTGCCCCTACACCCCTGAGCCACCCAGCCGGGTCTGCAATGCCTCGGGGGCCCCCGATCTGGCAGTGGACCGCACAAGTCACCCCCTGGCAGGCTGAGCCAGGCTGCTGGACCTGCTGGGGCTGGGTCCGCTTCACCAGCTGGTCTGTGGGGCTGCAGCAGGCAAGACGACAGCCTTCCTCACTCATGTCAGTTTATGGGAGTATCAGGTAACGGGCAGCTGAGCTGGACTGCGGGTGACCTTGAGGCCACAGGGCTGGCTGCAGGGTCCCGGCCGCACTGCCCCTCCTTGCTCAGGAGGCACGGGAGAGCCATAGTCTTTGCTGTGCACACCTGACATGGGCTGCAGCCAGCACCATGCTGCGCACTGGCACTGCAGCACTGTGGCCAGCCTCAGCCACCCTGCTTGTACTCTCATGGGCCCCCCCGGCATCTCACATGTGCCCTGACCTGGTCCCCACCTTCTTCCCCCTGCACCCTGAGCTCCCCACAGCTGCTGGCATGGCGGGTGGCTGCAAACAACAAGCCTGTGCATGCCACCGCAGCTTCTGAGAAGTGCTGCTTTCAGCTCATTACGGCACTGTCACAGCCAAATGGGACATTTAATCTTCAGACCGTTGAACCTGCAACCTTTACACATCAAATGCCAAATGCAGACAACCCAGAGTGCCTGATGCCAGGCTGAGGCTTCCTTCTTGTGGGTCCAGGCACAGGCACCCTGAGCCCTGTGCTCCTTTCCTGGCTGCCTGGCCTGGAGCATGCATGAGAGCTTCCAGGTACAACCTGGCTACAGGAGATGACTGAACCACCCCTGCTGTTCCCATGGGACAAGCCTGGACCCCGATCCATGCAGCCTGGTCTGGCTTTCACTGCTTGACCGGGGCCAAACACCCCCATGTGCCCCCCACATGGCCATGACCGATGGACAGAAGGGCGGTGGATTGTGCCTGCCCCACAGTGCTGGTGGGTGTCGGGCCACTAGCACAAGCACAAAGGTGGGTATTTAGCAAACCAATACACTGCACTAGAGAGAGACAAACTGCCCCCTACCTCCAGGTGAGGGCTCCACAGCTGTCACTGCAGGGGTCCTATCGCCACTGCCAGGTCACGGACTTGACTGCATCCTCAAACCATGGGCACAGACTGCCCAGGAAGGAGCCACTGGAGAAGAGTATGGCTGCAGGGTCCCCAGCCGCGCCACAACCAGGGCACACGCACACACTGCCTAGCTCTGGTCAGGCTCATGACTGGAAATTGAGGATTTGAGCTTGAAATCAAGAATCAGCAGCACCTGGACCAAGAGCTAAAGGGCACCACGAAACAGATGCATGTGTTCCCTGGGGCCCGCGTGGTTGCAGTGGTAACGGCACCTATCCTGCGGCATGTACTGCAGCCTTCGTGTAAGGAACCAGGCCAGTAACGGCAGCAGTGGTTGTGGGAAGTCCTGTTAGAATCCAGCTCTGCTACCAGCAGGCACCAGCCCCCTCCACCCAGGGGTAATGTGAGGGCCCTGTATGACTCCAGCAGCTGCTCACCGTTACACACTTCTCAGAGCACTCGCCGGATCTGGCCAGATGGGGCTGGGACCTCCGTTCAGCTCTGTGCAACTTGACCCAAGCAGGTCCAACCCCCAGTCCACGTAGGCCAGTATCCTGCCTCTGATAGTGGCAGGAGCAGATGCTTTGGAGAGAGGGGGGTGTACCTAGAGGGGTTCACTGGGCATTCCAATGCCAAGTCCACCCGAGGCAGCAAACAGCATCTTGCTCCAAGCTATGACCAGGAAAGAACCCCTTGCACCACCAGGGCTGCAGCAGGCATGAATCCCAGTAGCAAATCTGCCAGTGCTTGGCCCTGCCCGCAGAGCCAGTCCCTCTACTCTGTTGCACAGGTTGCAGGGGGGCACGGTCAGATGCAAATCAGAGCAGCTCAGTTTTCTTTTACATTTCGTTACCAAAGCCTCCCACATGCACTCACCACACGCTCCGACAGCCAACCAGGGCCCCCCCCAGCTCCTCCCGTGGAAAACACGCCCAGCCAGGCCCCGGAGTCGCTGCAAAAGGGCCGTATTGGGCTCTTGGCAGCAAGACAGGGAGCCAGCTTTAAACACCAGTTGCAAGGGACACGCACCTCTGAACAGTCAGTCATCGGTCATTTCCCCAGTCACCCCTCGGGTCCAGGGGATGTTTCAGCTCTAGGCCATCTGCTCACAACCATTCCCAGACGCTTGAAAAAGGGGGAGCTAACCAGTCTGGTCCTATCAGGAGGTGCAGAGAACCTTGCGTACTGCAAAGCTGCACAGAACAGACACAACCCCGCCCACCAACATAGACCAGATGGGAGCAACATGGTGCCTCCCCGGGCCCAGGGCCTTGTGCACCCCTGCCAGCACAGTTCTGTCCATCAAGAGGCAGAGTCCAGTGATGCATACGCCCATGGGTGTGAGCTCCCAAGGGGACCTGAATCCTTGGTGCTTTCCTCAGCCTGACAGAGCAGGGAAAAGCTCCACATCCCCTTAGTAAACAGGCACTTAATTAACAAACATGTCTCCTTTTTATTACCAAAAAAGAGAGAACCAGGGAAAATGGCACAACTGGTGCAAGGGGTGTGCTAGAGTCTGTGCTGCGAGGCAGACCGAAAGCAGGCACTGCTGAAGGAGAAGCAGGGAGGCAGTGGCAACGCCAGAGCCACGCTGCAGTTCCTGGCTAGGTAGCCATCAGCACCACATCTCGGAGCCTGGCACCACGGGAGCAAATGTCACTTCCAGCTCTGACTTGAGAGGTAAGATAGCATCATCATTTTCACAGCATTTGGTCTCGGAAGTTCACTGCTCTTGGGACCAGTTTTCTGTTTCAACCAACCTAGAACACAGGAGGAAACCCCAGCACAGCCCCAGTGGGACCTTCTCTGGCAGTCAGCCCAGCACGGAGGTAGAAGTTCAGAGAGTCTCTCTCCAGGGGGCATGGAGCAAGCCTTGGCACTGGTCAGCTGGTCTTGGAGGTGCTGCTATGAGATGTGATGCATCAGCATCAGGGCTTATCCTCCAGCTTCATCTGAACCAGGTCTTCCCAGTGGCTGGAACAAAGGCGCCTGTGGTTAGCCATTATACAGCCTCACGGACAGGCCGGGCCGGGCTAGGTGGTGTCTGTACAGTGCACTGGAGTACCGAAGGGCAGTCCCCTCTGAGCGACAGCTGGCAAGAGTCTCACCTCCACAGGCAGCACTGGCTTTCTGCAGTTTTTCTGCGAGTCCACTCCTGCTAGAGCTCCTGCCTCTGAACGAGCTACTCTCCAAGGTGCCGCCCTGCCCTGCCTGGGCAGTTACCAGTCTTTCATTGGACCCACCCAAGAACAGTGCACAGCTCCCCCTTGCCAGCTGGAAGATGCAGTTATGCCGCGCACCCAGCTGCAGGCCCCAGCCCCCCTGTGCTGATCTCCAACATGGGCACCCACTGGCCCGGCCCCAAGCTCGACCTGACCCATGCCTTCTCTGCAGGGACACTGGTGTGAGAATGAGGGAGGGCAAACTGCATGAAAAACTCCTGTTTTTCCTTGCAACTGCTTAAAAAAAAGACAGAGCTATTGACAAGAGGAGTCAGACACCAAAACGCCAATTCACCAAGCTGCCACCTCAGCCCTTAAAATGAGAAAAACACCCTCCAGAGAAGCTGGGGGAGGGTCCGGCTGTGGAGCTAGCACCCCGGTGCCCACTCTTACAGACCAGCTCAGGCAGGAACAAGGTCCCCTTCCCACTCACCTTGTCACATCATGATGCACGACAGACCCATGCAGCCCTGATTCCCATCCTCACTGCTGTTGAGCTTTTTCATCCGGTACTGGCGGATCTCTCGCACCAGTGTGTAAAAGGCGTCCTCCACACCCTGCATACAAGCAATCCTGGTCAGGCCTCTGCCCCGTGCCCTGCCCACCAACCTGGCACAGCAGCTTCCTGCCAGCAGCGAGTCAGGACCCCACAATTCTCTTCCTGAGGGAATCAGCACTTTGCACCCAAGCACCTGCTGTTATGTTCTTAACCCTGTGCTTTCCTTAAAAGAAACAAGGAGTCAAGACTGCTGCCTTCTAAGGCAGAGGGAACACAGGGCAGGGGTGGTGAATGGAGCTTACATCTTCAGGAGGAAGTGGGTGTACCTAGGGAAACTGCCTGTGGGTTGAAGCTCCATGTTCGGACCACTGCAACGCACCGCACCTTTCCTTGATTCCTAGAGGGGGGAGGCCACAGAGGGGGCAGAGTCTGCAGCATGAACATGTCCAGGGGGGCGGGGGGGCTGTGTTTGTTGTGGCAATGTGCTTGCTACACAAGTTCTAGTAGCCTCAGAGCTGACAGTCTCTGGAGGGCACAGGCTGCTCAGCAACACCGGGACCAAACCCGGTAAGAAAACCCTTCGCTCAAGGGAGCTTTCCGACCTGCTCCGAGCAGACAAGAGGGAGCCGAAACTCTGTGCTGTGGTGACAGCGTAGCGATTCATGCCGATGCCACGATAGCCGATGCTCTGACGCAGTTCAAGACAGTAACAATGCTCCGCTCACCACGCCAAGGTCTAACGGAAAACTCAAAGGAGCAAACAGGCAGGGAGCTAGCAAGTCTCTGCTCCCATGGGCAAGCGGCAGCCCCTCCAAGGAGCTGGACCACAGGTCTGCTTATAGCACCAAGCAAGGGTCAGCCTGGCAGAAATGCAGTTCGTTACCTGTCTTGTCTTGGCAGACGTCTCTATGAAGGGGATGCCGTAGCTCTTGGCCAGCTCTTGCGCTTGCTTAGTGTCCACCGTCCGCGTGGGCAGGTCACACTTGTTCCCCACAAGCACCATTGGCACGTCATCTGAATCCTTCACTCTCTTAATCTGCTCCCTGGACAACAGCGGCTGGCTTCAGAGCTGGGCACCATAGCCCAGGAACGCCTTGCTTCTCCCCACCCCTGCAGCATGGCTACCACTGAGGGACACGGGTGCCTCCCTGCCCACCCGGCCCAAGCCACCTCCGGCGGTCAGGCCCCGGCCCCGCAGAGAGGGCGCTGCTCACCGGTAGAGGTTGATGTCGGCGAAGGACTTGCTGTTGTTGATGGCGAAGACGCAGAGAAAGCCCTCGCCCGTGCGCATGTACTGGTCACGCATGGCGCTGTACTCCTC